GTTAGGAAGAAAACCACAATTATTCCATCACATGTTATCACGTATAACAATAAGAACTATGACGGTTAATGGAAAAGACACCTGATAAGGAGACTGAAAAGAGCAGAGACAAAATGAAAATTTGAGGAGATTTGTTTTGGAATATGATGATGTACAGCTATATATTCTTAAGAGAAGGATAATTACCTGTGTTATCAAAAACTTTTTCTATGTTGAATTTAGTAAAGCCAAAAAAATATGGCTTTGAAAGAAGCCAGATTTAGCAGTTACATATTTAAGTGCAATGGGATATCCTCCTGTTCATGGTAAATATATTATTGGCAACAAATGTGACAGATCATTAAGTTGTTTTGAGCCACTTTTTTTTTTTTTTTTTTTGTGGTACTGGGACTTCAACTCAGGACCTACACTTTGAGCCACTCCACCAGCCCTCTTTTGTGTTAGGTATTTTTGAGATTGGGTCTCTCAAACTGCCCATGCTGGCTTCAAACCGTGATTTTCCTGATCTCTGTCTCCTGAGTAGCTAGAATTAGAGGTGTGAGCCACCAGCGCCCAGCTTGAGCCACTTTTGGAGACTAAAATCTGTCTAACATTTTCAAAATGGTGAAAAGTTTTTTGGCAAGCAAAATTCAGTTGGAGGAATATATTCCTCTTTAGACACACATGATATTTACCTATAATACATTCTAATCGGCAAATATTTAGTACATGCTGTACATTCTTGGTACTGGAACTACAGCTGTGACTAAGAAACACATTTTTGCCTTTATGGTGCTAATATGTTAGTATGAATCAGACAGTAGCAAGATTAATAAAATATATATTATGCTTAGATTTAATACATATATGTACTATGTATATATATTTATAGTAGTATACAGTAGTACAGGTAGTGATAAGAAGCTGTAGAGGGCAAATAATTTGGAGAAAGAGGGTGAGTATAATTTTAGGTTATAGCCCTAGGATGGGATTCACTGAAAAGATAACCCTTGAGTAAATACCTAAAGAATCTGAGAGAACAAGTTATGCAGATAACTGAGAAAATGATTTTTAAGCAGATAAAAACAAATTTAAGACCACAAAGTAGGAGCACGTCCTAATAGTACATTATGGCAAAAATCAGGAGACTAAGCCAGATAGGCCAGATTTGTTAACAAAACAAGCCTGTTTTATTAATTAATTCATTTATAAAATTTTGAGCCATTGTTGCACTTTGTTGCCCATACCCGTGGGCTCAAGTGATCCTCTCTCCTCAGCATCCAGAATAGCATACATTACCACATCCGGCTTGTTCCTTACATTTTATTTATTCATTTAATATCTAATGTTGATGACTATTTTTACACTACAAAAGTACAGTTTAGAATTGTGACGGACAATATGGCTTGCAAAGATTACATTACTTACTCTGACCCTTTATGGAATAAGTTTGATGGCCCCTGCAAGCAATGCTGCCGAAGCTGAATGAGTGTGGGGTATTGGGATATAGGATGAAATGAGATCAGAGGCTAAATAGGGGGGCAAAGAGATATGCAGATTGTATAGGACTTTCCTTAAGTTTATTCAGAATTTTGGTTTTTAATCTGAATAAATGGGATGGTCTTGAAGAGCTTTTATCCTTAATTCTCTCCCAGTAATATGCTAAGCGTTCTTGTTGCTGTTCTTCATCGTTTATGCTCAATACTGCAGCCAGTGAGATCTCATTAAAATAAGTGTGATGATGACACTGTGCTTAAAATCTCCTCCTGAGTAGGCTGGAGGAGATGAGATCCAAAACACAGTGGATTCATTTGCCTTAGCTTAAAATAGGCATCTCTGTTTTTACAGGAGCAAGTTTATAGGTCTGGTGATGAGAAGGAGCTGCTACCTCATGGCTTCTGTTTTCTCTGTGAAGCTGAAGGTAGAATCGCCTGAAAATATGGACATGGCAGAGAAAATGGAGGTTTAAGGATAAGGAAGAAGATTGAAACAGTTGTTGCTAAAGAAAATAGTAAGGTGATTAGGCAGTGTCAGTGTATCAGGGATAACTGGTAACCATGAATTTATTATACTAATTTTGTTACTTTTCATACACATCATCACCTGATGTAGAGCTCTGCTTATAGTAGGTTCATTGTGCCTGCTAATTAATTCTGAATATATATTGATAAAAGTTATATCAAAGTTAACTGAATTAATGTGTTCTGGATCTGAAGGGATGCTTTTGGACCAGATTAGATTTGCATTGCTGTGCTGTAATTTTCTCCTTAAGCCCCAATTGGCATCTTGCAAAATGTTCAGTGTACTTTACCTGCCTGATGTATTAAATGAGAGGCTGTGGTTACAAATAAATGCAGCAGTGCTATTGTAAAAATAACTATTTGCTTAATTTTAATTAAAGTTCAATATGAATGGGAATGGTGTAAACATTTATCCTGGTATATAGGAATGTTCGGGTTTAGTACTGATGCCCCATGTGTAAGCAATCACTTGTCCTAGGAAAACCAGGATATTGTTCACCCTAAATTGTGTTGCTTATTATTTAGATATAAAGTAAAAAGTAAAACTTAATCATTATCCTGTGACCAGCAGGCAGCCCTGTTATTACCATTGTGTTCTATTTCTTTCTAGTCTTTATTTTAGCCATGATTACTGATTTATGTGTTTATTTGAATTGAGATCACATGATAGTTTTATATCAAACTTTTTGCACTTAACATTGTACTTTGAGAATTTTTTCATGTTTTTATTCCTTCAAGAAGAAAGTTCCAGGTGTACAGCAATCAGTAAATATTTGTTATTGAGTAGGTATAGTAGTTTGTACCAACACTATGAGTATATTAAGCATATTCTTTTCACCGTAGACAGAAGCTCTGAATATTATCACTAAAAAATACTTTGCTAGTTGGTTTGATTAAAAATTTCATTGTTTGAATTTTAATTTCTTTGATTACCAGTGAGTTTGAACATTTCAACCACTGAGTTGTTGCTTGATATCCATAGCTCATTTTCTTTTGAGATCTTTATTTTTTATCTTATTTTTTTTGGTGGGCCTGGAGTTTTAACTCAGGGATTCGTGCTTTCAAAACAGGCACTCTATCGCTTGAACCACACCTTCAGCCCATTTTACTTTCATTTTTTTAGAGATGGGGTCTTGAGAACTGTTTGTCCAGGGTGACCTCAAACCATGATCCTTCCTTTCTCAGCCTCTCAAATAACTGGTATGAGCTACAAGTGCCTGGCTCTTTTGAGATCTTTACTTTTGTCTTTTACAAAATTTATTAGTCTTTGAATGTAATGTACCTTACATCTATTAAAGGTGCTGTGCCCTTGCCAAATGTCACTTTGTAAGTTGGTCATATAGGCTTATAAAAGAATTTTCAATTAATATTATTTCATAATCTGCACAAAAAGAATTCCTGCTGCTAACAAAACATTTTAAAGTATTGATGTTGTTTGTCAGCATTTAGGCTAGTTTGTTGCCATTTCAGTTTATTTAATTTAATCAGCAGATAATTGAGTCTCCTGCAAGTGAATAATCCGTGGTTTTGTCCCATAGGATAGATTTATAAATAAATAATTACAATTCTGGATAATAAGTGCTTTATAAAAGTCTATTCCTAGCCCATTCCTGTAATCCCAACGTTTGCAAGGTAAGGTAGGAGGATTGCCCGTTTGAGGCCAGCCTGGGCTACATAGTAAGACCCTGTCTTAAACAACAACAATAATAATAATTGTTTATAGAGAAAAAAAATCAGTTAATAAAATTGCCATGAAATGGAGTGATATTTTCACTGACTTGAAGAATGTAAAATTTTGCCAGTAATAGATTATTAATTACATCAGTTAGCATTGAATGCTTGCCTCGTGGCACTCTGAAAGCCTTAATGCAGTATAGTTTGCAATCATGAATAACCCAAAGAGATCATCACTGATACTCAGCTGTTTTACAGCTAGAAAAATGATGGACACTACAAGCTAAAGAATAGCAGGGGCTTTATAGGCCAAGTTAGCAGAGGAAAACTGCTGACAGCAGCTGTGGGAAACCCTGAATTTTCTGATGTGGCTAAAGTTTGTTGTAAGAACGGGGGTAGGTAATTAATAATACCTCCTCGTTGTGGTGTAAAAGTGCTTCACATGTTTCACTTTTTTAAAATCCTCACAGCTACTCCGTGAGAAACAGTTGTTTGTATTAGAAAGTTCAGATGATCTTCCTGAGGTCGCACAGCTGGCCAATGTGGAGGTGACATGAGAGCAAATAAGCTTTGTCTGACTCATGAGCTTCTTAACTTTCAATGAGTTAATCAAATAAACGGGAAACAGGCTGAAACGCTTAGGTACCCAGCTCAGTGTTCTCAGTGGTTTTCCAGTGTTTGCTTTTGTTTTGTTTTTTTAAATGTTATATACTTCCTTTTCATTTTCTATCCCATTCCTCCTCTTTCCTTTTCTAGGACCAACTACAATTCTCTGAATCATTTCCATACATTTATGATTTTGCTACATATGGCTACATCCATACAAAGCATTAGAGATGGTGGAGTGGCTCAGGTAATAGAGCACCTGCCTAGCAAGCGTGAGGTCCTGAGTTCAAGCCCCAGTACTGCCAAGGAAAAAAAAAAACCAGAGCATTAGTTTGTGTGATTTATAACTTTTCTACAAATTATATCATATTGTGCCTGTTCTTTTACAAGTTGCTTTTCTAACTCATTTTGTTTTTGAGATCTATATTGAACCCTATAAAATTGTTTCTTTCATTTTAATCACCATATGGTGGTTGTTTATCCATTCCTTTATTTGTGAGATATTTAGGTTATTTAAATATTCATGTATGTATTTTTCTCATGTATATAGAGTTGTAAGTATACTCTAGAGATAGAATTGCTGAGTAATGCAGTATGTTTCTCCAAGCTTTAGAACAGATATTCCAAATTTCTCTGTATAGTATTTGTGTTAATTTGCATTCTCACTGTAGATAAATAAGATTTTAGTAGAGTCTGAAACCACCATACTATTTTGAAATTTTTCATGTCTCAACATAAAAGAGGAGAATTATAAAGAAACTAAAACATTATCAGGGATTATTTGTCCTTTTATCAACCAAAAGATGACAAGTCCAAAATATATTAAATGGATGGAGAAAGTTTTGTATGGGAAAGGAGCATGAATAGGAAGCAAAAAGTGAAAGGTATGTATATTGGAAAGGATTGCAATTGACTTTTTAATTTCTTTCTTTTTTGCCTGTAATAAAAGGCCAAGTAATAAGTCTAGGTATAATATGGTAACTTCATGAATGCATCAAGAAACTTTCCTCGTCTGCTGTTTTTATCATGTGACAATTGCTTCTCTGGATATTGTGTGCAGTATGTAGACATAAGAAAGGGAAAGAGGGAAAAGACTCCAATCAGCTGAATCCTGTCTTATTCCTGCCTTCCTCACAAATCTGATTGATCATAACTGGATCATATGACCCATAGCTGTAAGGTGTTCCAGGAGGCAAGCACCTTCCTTAATACAATCAGAGTTACGTTATTAAGAAAGAAGAGGAGATTAGATGTTGGGTCAGCCACTGGAAACATTACATAGTTTCCACTGTTAATTTATGTGGCACGTTCATTGTTTTTGTTAAACTGATTCTGCTGTGGGTGGTTAAGAAAGCATTTTAAAATCTCTGTCAGCTGTCGGAGTGGCTAAGTGGTAGAGTACTTATCTAGCAAGTATGAGGCTCTGAGTTCAAACCCAAGTACTGCCAAATAATAGTAATAATAACAATAATTGTGATAATAAAGTAAAACCTACAGAAGATAAGTTTCTTTTCTTTTTTTTAATTTGATAGGACTGGGGTTTGAGCTCAGGGTTTCATGCTTTACCATTTGAGACACACCTCCAGTTCATTTCGCTTTGGTTATTTGGGAGATGGGGTCTTGCAAACTATTTTTCTGGGCTAGCTTCAAACCTTGGTCCTCCTGATCTCAGCCTTCCAAGTACCTAGGGTTATAGGCATGAGCTGTCAGTGCCCAGCTGCACTGTGATTTTTGAAGTGAGTTTTTCCTTTAGTTTTATTGCTTCAAATTTCATGCCTCTCAAACTCATTTATATCCTTTTTTATAATCTCCTTTTGACAAACCTTGGGGAGATGGTTTTATAACTAAATGACTAATTATCATAGTGGTTTTAAAATTTCATATTGTTTGATTCTTCTCCTTTAGATATGCCCATGTAATATAGGGGAGCGAGAGTAATAATGTCATAGTTTTATCTTAAAGGAATTGAGCCAGCTGTGTGAGGCATTCATTAGGCTGAGGCAGATCAGTTGTTTGAGGCCAGCCTGAGCTACATAGTGAGCTCCAAACAAAACAGATCAAAACAAAGCGAGGAAAAAAAAAAAAAAGAACTGAACCAAAACTTCCAGTTATTTACTATTTGGGGAATAAGAGATATAACACCAATGAAACCAATGAAGTTGGTGGTGCATGTCTTTACTCCCAGTTACTTCAAGAGGCTGGAGGATTGTAAATTCAAGATCAACCTGGACAAAGTTTGAGACCCTAACTCAAAAACAAAGTAAAAAGAAAAGGGTTAGGGTACAGCTCAAGTGCTTATTGCAGCACTGTTTTCAATCCTTAAAAAACAACGAAATCCACAAAAAACAACAAAAACAAACCACCAGTGATGAGTGGAGGTTGAGGTTACTTAGTCCAGATGAAGAACTAGAATCAAAGAGTTTATGACATATAGAAAGGTACACCACTAGCTGAATTAGGATTAGTGAATTTGAGATTCCTGCATCTAATGTCATTCCTTATTTCATTTCGTTATGTTGTTACTTAAACCAAAATCAGTAGTTAACCCAAATAAAAATGTACTGTTACTTTTACCATGGGTCATAGTCAATATTAAATCTTTAGATGCTTGTTGGACCATAAACATAGAAGAAACACTAAATTGTGTTCAGTAAAGTTGAGTATTAATTCTCAATTAATTTTAAAGATAGTGATCTAAGTTTTAACTATTAAAATGTTCATTTAATTAGTTTTCCTGATATACTAACCAAACTCAGTGAATGAGAATTTACTAAACCTATTTTATTAGTGGGAAAGGGAAGACAGATAAATTAGATAATCCCATTATCTCTAAATGGTTTAGCACCAAAAGGATGGTCCAATCGCAGGCTCTATTTGACTTTTTTATTTGCAACATGATTAGACGTAAAAAAGGAAGCTTGTAGTGAAAACACTCACTTTTTAATGAACTATTGAATTCTTTTTCTCTTTTTTTTTGTGAGGTGGTGAAACTGGGATTTGAACTCAGGGGCCTTACGTCTGCTAGGCAGGTGCTCTACCATTTGAGCCACTCCCCCAGCTCTCATTTAAAAAAAAAAAAAAGCCCTTCCCATCCCATTTATGTCCCTTTGAAATATATCATAACTCTGGGTTATCAGTGAGGATCTTTGCAAAATTTTTTAAAAAGAAACTCTTATCTTGTTAAAGCTTTGTTTAGAATTGAGATCCTTTACTTGCGAAGATAAAGTGAAGGGATAGAAAATGTACTGAAATGTAGTGGTGGGTTCACAAAACACTGTTCAGATCACCAGTGCAATTCTGTAACCTATTCAGAGATCGAGCTGTGTGCAGCTTTTGTTTATGTTTAGACATGCACTGCTAGGCATTCCATACAAGTTGAAAATACATAGTCAATAACGTAAGAAGAGGAAATGGCAGATAAAACTAAATAGTCTAAAATACTAACTTCTTAAATGTTCAGTAATGACATTTGATAAAGTAAATTGTAGTACAGCTACATTGAGGAATGTTGCGTAATTATGAATTTTGATTTTTGAAAAGGGCAATTAACACCATAAGAAAGCACCAGTGTTTCGATGTAGAACTTAAGGCAACATGACCCCAACCTTGTGAAAAGTAAAAAAGGCCAGGAGGAAATAACTAAAGCATTACTAGTGATGACCTCTGGGTAATACAGCTATAGGCATTTTTCTTTTCTTTTCTCTTTTTCATTTTCCTGCTGTTGTGCTCATGTCACTTTAGTGAAATGAAGTGCTCAGTAGCTTTCAAAGGAGAACAATTACCAGTTTATAAAACAGCCGAAAATTATCTTTGAAATTGTTTTATGTGGCATTTTTTATTTCATGATTTTGAGCTATCCCTTGAGCTTGAATAAATTATTTGAGCTGTATAAATATTTGCATTTCATTGAGAAGACTGAGGTTAAAAGTAAAAGGCAGAAACATGAGTTTTTCTAAAAAATAGCTTTTTAAATAATAGTTTTTTAATATCTGGAAGTTGTGCTTGACAAATTTTATCTTCTTTATTGTCAGGTTTCTTTTGTCAAAATACCCAATGACAAAAGTCACCTCTTTTAAGAAGCAGACATGTAGATATTAAGTATTTTGTATTTTTTAGTCTTAAAAGCTTATATTCATGTAATTAAACTTTTTCTGGTTTTTAGAGAAACAGAAGGAAAATGAAAAGACAAAAGGTGATGAGCTGCCAGTAGATTCAGTAAACCATTCTACAGCCAGTATTCTAGAAGAAACTGCTGTGAAAATTGAAAAAGAAGATGAAAAGGAACTTGTGAAACTGCCAGTCATAGTAAAGCTTGAAAAATCTTGCTGGAAAATGAGGGAAAAAAGATTATTAAAGAAGAAAATGATTCTTTCAAGGAAAATGTCAAACCTGTTAAAGTTGAAGTGAAGGAATGCAAGGCAGATCCCAAAGATATCAAAGGCAGCATGGAGAAGCTTGGGGCACAGGAACCTGAGCGGCTAGAATTTGGTGGCAACATCAGATCTTCTCAAGACATTACAGAGAAATCTACTGAAGAAACTGAGAAACTTAAAAATGACCAGCAGGCCAAGATACCACTAAAAAAGAGAGAAATTAAACTAAGTGATGACTTTGACAGTCCAGTCAAAGGACCTTTGTGTAAATCAGTTACTCCAACAAAAGAGTTTTTAAAAGATGAAATAAAACTAGAGGAAGAAACTTGTAAAAGGATCTCTACCATCACTTCCTTGAGTAATGAAGGGAAACAACTGGTAAATGGAGAAGTCAGTGATGAAAAGATAACTCCAAATTTTAAAACAGAACAAACAGAGACAAAGTTTTATGATACAAAGGAAGATACCTCTAATAGCCCCTCTAAGGACAGAAATGTCATCATGGAGGGAAATGGAGCAGAGTGCTTCAACTCTGTCATAACAAGCATAAAAATAAGTGAGCTTGAGAAAGAAGTGGTCCTTTTAGGGAAAGGTGCAGAGTGTTCCTTGTCAGTCTCAGAGACCCACAATCAGAAAGGGCAGTCACAGGAACCTGATCCTCCAAAAATGGAAACTTCCCTTGAGTCTTCTGGGATAGCAAAGGATCTCTCTTTAAAAACTGTTTTGTCTGCCACTGAATCCTGTACCATGATTATTGAAGAAAAGTCCCCTAAAAGTAAGAACGATAACTGCCCACCAATCATAGAATGTCTTGAAAAGATAGAGAAGTCTAAAAAGACTTTTCTTGATAAGGACATGCAAAGGTTGAGTCCAATACCAGAGGAAGTTCCAAAGAGTACCCTAGAATCAGAGAAGTCCAGCTCCCCTGAAGCAGCTGAAACTTCCCCACCATCTAAAATGACTGGCCACAGTGAGAAACTAATGTCAGAAAAAGAAGGGGTAGAAACAACAAGGTCTGTTGAAGCTCAGTCCCTGGACAAAGCAGACTCAGAAGTTCTAAAAGAGGATTCTGAGTCCATGATGGTGGAAATGGATAATCTGGACAATGCCCAGACTTCTGGCGTAGAAGACTCTTCTGAGACAAAAGGTTCTATGCAAAAAAGCAAATTTAAATATAAGTTGGTTCCTGAAGAAGAAAGTACTGGCTCAGAAAATACAGAGATAACCTCTGAAAGGCAGAAAGAAGGCATCAAATTAACAATTAGGATATCTAGTCGGAAGAAGAAGCCCGATTGTCCCCCCCAAATTCTAGAACCAGAAAGCAAGCAAGAGAAGACAGAAAAAGAAGAAGAGAAAACAAATATTGGTCGTACTTTAAGAAGATCTCCAAGAATATCTAGACCCACAGCAAAAGTGGCTGAGATCAGAGATCAAAAAGCTGATAAAAAAAGAGAAGGAGAAGATGAAGTGGAAGAAGAGTCAGCAGCTTTGCAAAAAACAGACAAAAAAGAAAATTTAAAAAAAATGGAAGGATACAAATTCTAAAGTAAGCAAGGTAAAACTTCTACTGAGTTTTAAATTTTAATTAGAAATATTTGGATCTAGATGTTTATAATTTTTTCTTTCGGCTAAAACAGGCATTTAAAGACAACTAAAAATAACATCTTCCTTTATCTTTTCTCAGTAGTTATCTTCACATATTAATCTGAAGATAATGTAAAAGATAGTCTTGTTATCTTTTAAACTTCCGGTTATAGGCAGTATTAGGAATATGTTCTTTTTATGAACTATTCAAGTAATAACCAACGTATAGGATTATAAAATGACAATTCCCCCTAACCACTATTAACAGTTTGGGGTATGCATTCATGTACATGTTTAAAAACATATTATCTATTCATTTCAAAATAAATTGGATCAAATCTGTTCATTTTTCTGTGAAATTTTCACTTAACAACGTGTCTCTGTATTTTTCCATGCCAGGCGATGTAGTCTACCTTTAGTTTGTTAGTGGCCACATAGCATTTCATAGTGTGGATATACCTCAGTTGATTTAATTACTCCCTTATTAATTGACATTTAGGTTGTTTCCAATTTTTCACTATTACAGGCAATGCTGCATTTTGAAGATCCTTTTGGACATGAGTGAGTATTTCTCTAGAATAGACTCCTAGAATTGGAATTGCTGGGTCAAGGGGCATGTGTGTTATATATTTTAATAGATATTGCCACACTGCCCTTCAGAAAGGCCCTATTAATATACCATCATACACTCATTACCAGTGTGTCATAGTGCCTGTTGTCCCCATCTTATCGTTAGTTTTAGAATTCAGAATCCTGTTTTCTGTGACCCTCTTTAAGCAAATCTTTTCCAAGTCTTTGGCTAGTTGATGAAAATTTGTTGTAATTAAAAATGCTATTTTTGTTTTTAATTTATTTAAATAATTAGTTTTTCGTTGTAAGTAGTTCTTTGTTCCCTGAAATACTGAATTTTTAATTCTTTTAAAAATGTTTTTTCTTCTGTTACGATTATTTTGTTCTTTGCTAGAGATCCACAGTATAGGAATGAAGTGAAATACGAGTTAAAATATTGAGAAACAAGGCAATAAATAGCTGTGACAACATTATAAATGTAGTGTTTGGATAATATATTTTTTAACTTTGTCATAATTTTTATATGGAACTTTTACCCACTTAAAATTTTAAATTCATCTCTAATATAGACTTCACAATTTTGCATAACACTCTGTGAATATATCTTTGTATTATTGATAGAGCCTTTAAAGTGTACGTGGCCTTTGACCCAGAATCCTCTTCAAGGAATTTATCCTAACCACAAAGATGTTTATAAAAATTTCTATAAATGGGGATACATTGTTTGTGAAAGTGAAAAAATGGGAAACAACTACCTAAATGTCTAATGGGGGTGAGATAAATACAGCCCTCTTACGGCATTTATAGTGATATTAGGTCAATATTTTATGACTAAGAAAAATACTTACAAGACAATGATTATATTATAATCCCATTTTTTAAAACCCCAAAAGCAATGGAATTTAATAGTCGCTATATCTGGTGATGAAACTGTAACCATTTTCATTTTTTGTTTGTATTCTGACTAAATACTCCACAAGGATCATGTATTCAGTAGATGTTAAAAAAAAAAAAACTTCTTACATGAATTCCAATTTTTAATTTTGTACAAGGTAAAACCCAAAGGCAAAGTTCGATGGACTGGTTCTCGAACACGTGGGCGGTGGAAATATTCCAGCAATGATGAAAGTGAAGGGTCTGACAGTGAAAAGTCATCTGCAGCTTCAGAAGAGGAAGAAGGAAAGGAAAGCGAAGAAGCTGTCCTAGCAGATGATGATGAACCATGCAAAAAATGTGGCCTTCCAAACCATCCAGAGCTAGTACGTACCTGGTCTGAAAGGGTGGTTTTCATATTATGAACATGCTGTGGTTGTTGGGAATAGCCTCATTCTTCTGGGCTTGATCATGATTTGAAATTTTTTATACTACAGAGCTTGTGTTCCATAAGTGACTTTTATTTCTATTTCCCAGTTTGAGGAAGGTCAAGAGTTAGGATTTTACTTTCTGCTTGGCTTATATATTGATACTTTCTCTATTTGGTGAGGATGTACCCCATATCTCTTCTCACAAATCAGTGAATTTACTTAAATATTGCTGTGTTTTAAATTTTTTTCTTCTTTCCTTTTAAATCATAATATTTCTGAAGTGCTAGCTTTAAATAAGTTAGACCTGAAGGCTTCATTGCCTTCCTGTTTAAAAATGAAGTAATAACTAGTTGGACATTAAATTTTTTTTTTGGACATTAAATTTTTTATGGGCAGTTAAAAAAAATTTTTAAGACAACATTATAGGGCGGGGAAAGAGGGAGGGGGTAGGGAGTAGGGGGAGAAATGACCCAAACATTATATGTACATATGAATAAATGAGAAAAAAAAAAAGACAACATTGTAAACCTGATACATTCAAAAGGGTAAGTACTACATTTATATGGAGCTTTCTTACCAAGAAGTACACTCTTCAAAGATAACTTGCATCAGAACAAATTCCTAATCTGTACATCTTATGTGAGTGTCTTAAGGAAATACTCTTACTTTATCCAATACTATGCAACTCTGCTGCTCTTTTGAATAGATTTGATTCTAAAGGTGACCTCCAATTATTAAGTAGAAAGACGTCCTTCTTCATGTGTAGGATATGTGGAGCAAAACCATTTCGGCATCCTCGTAAGAGGTAGTTGTGCAGGCTTTTTTTCCTGGAGTGCAGTGTAATGTGATGGTAGAGCAAGGGGCCCGACAGATGTGGATCCAGGTCCTTTTTATCAGTGTTAGCTTCTCAAAAATGGAATTAGCCAGACACCAGTGACTCACGCCTGTAATCCTAAACTACTCAGGAGGCAGAGATCAGGAGGATGGACCATGGTTCGAAACCAGCCCGGGCAAATAGTTCGCAAGACCCTATCTCAAAAAACCCTTCCCAAAAATAGGGCTGGTGGAGTGGGTCAAGGTGAACACCCTGAGTTTAAGACCCATGTACTGCAAAAAAAAATGGAACTAGCACCAATGCTTCTGGGATATTTTAATAATTTGTGTATGCTTTCTTTTATGTATTATTTGCTGGTTTAAAGTTAATTCTGTTTTACTTGTTCTTCTTTACTGTTAAAATCATTTCTAGAAACTAAATTAAGCAGTAAAGTTTATCATATCATTAAAGCTTCTGAAAAATCAAGTAAAAGATTTCAGTTGGAAACAGAGAATGACTTACGTATGAGAAGAATAGATACTGAAATTATGCAGAGCGATGCTTGTGCAGAGGTGGTAAAGAGAAATTTGAGATAACAATCTTTTCTGCCTTCCAAGAAGTGCTTGTGTTCTCTCTTTACCATTTCTAAATTTATCCTTAAACTAAAAGAATGCATTTTAACATAAGGCAGTAGTAGCTACCAGTGTGAGGAAATAAGCAGTAAAATGGAATAAACAGTGATAACCACAAGAAGGGGAAAGTTGAACTATTCTTGAAATACACACAGGATTTTAATTTATCTGTTTTTTTTTTTTAATAATTGGAAAAACCTGATTGCTGTTTAGTGTGCCAAGGAGAAGGCACACTAAATTAGACATTAGAAAGTGAGGATACAAAATGTTATGGATTTCTTATGCCAGGGGCATAAGATATGTTGCTGAGCTAGAAAGAGCATGGTCTGTGTCCACATCAAGATTATGGCAGAAAGCATAAATTCACAAGTAAATGTAGAACTTCTGTGGGATTTTTCACATGCTTTCATTAAAATAAATGTACTGGGAACATGGCTTAAGAGGTAGTGTACCTGCCCAATAAACTCAGGGCTCTGAGTTCAAATTCCAGTACCTAAATAAGTAAATAAACGCCTGAGGCTTGAAATCTTACATGGTTGTATTTATTTAGAGGCTTTTTACTTTTGTTACAGAGTAGAGACATCTTCATTTTAGAAGTAAGCTGAATTCTAAAAGTTTATTTGTAATTTTTTATTTAAACTTAAATTATATGTCATCATAGAAATAATGGTGTTACATGCAGATGGGTACCTGGGATAGTCTACATACACCTAGGCAATCAGTCATATAAGTGATGCATAACACTAATATAACTTACAGAATTTCAGGCTTTGGGATCAAGTGGTGATGCATTGTATAGAAAAGGAAGAAGGTGGTTTTCCACTTTTAACCCTTCCTCTCCAGGCTGTGGGTTAGAATTTTAGAAACTACATGTATGCTAAGGTAGACCAAACAAGTAAGATGTACATAATAGAAGCCATGTCCATACTTTTAGTAAGACGAAAAGTAGAATGACTCCTACAATGCTTAATACTAGAAATATTAGTATGCTTACGCTTATTTTAATATATGTATGTCTAGAGATTAAGAGATATAGAGATAGATATCTATATATAAATATATAGAGAGATATAGATATATTTCTTAGCTCTGCCCTCTGAGAGAACTTAGCATTAGAGATATCCAGTAGCACAGAACAGTGAGATACCTATATCTTGGTTTCTAAATTCTGTTCTTCAATAAAGGAACTAGGGCTTCTTGGAGAAATGGATGATTCTAAGGCTTTATACAAGATATCCTATAGCATCCTGTAATGCCAGAAAGTCAGAAAGTACCTTACACTTTTTTTTTTTTTTTTTTTGTAATCATACTGGGGTTTGAGCTCAGGGCCTGATGCTTACTAGACAGACCATTCTACCACTTGAGCCATACCTACATCCCAGAATGAGCTTTAACAAATAGCCAGGTGCTGGTGGCTCACACCTGTAATCCTAGCTACTCAGGGTACAGAAATCAGGAGGATCACGGTTCGAAGTCAGCCCAGGCAAATAGTTTGTAAGACCCTATTTAAAAAAAAAACCCATCACATAGAAGGGCTGGTAGAGTGGCCCAAGGTGTAGGCCCTAAGTTCAAATCCTAGTATTGTGAAAAAAAGGAAAGAAATAACAATAAATATATAGATAAGTTCTAAGGATAAGAAGCCAGTGTTAGGGCTGTGCCCAAGTATGAGCACTTCCCTAGCAAGCTTGAGGCCTAAATTTAATTCCTAGTACCACCACAAAAAAAAAAAAAGATTTTAACTTTGGTGAATGCTGGGTGAAGATGGTATATGGGAACACTGTAATATCTTGACAAATCTTTTATAAACCTAAAACTGTTTTTAAAGTTGTTTTTAAATTAAAAACTCATGAATGTACCATGTTAAATTTTAGAGATTTGGTCACCTTAAACTCAAATAGCAATAAAATCCTACCTGTAAGACTAATTGTTATTAATCTTTGAATGTGATGGTTCTGAGTATACTTCCAGTTCTTTTCCATACTTCAATTCTGTCAGTTTGAATTTACAGTGTAAAAGGAATCATGAATGTTTCTTACACATAAATAATTGAAAAACAATTAAAATGGGAGTTCTTTTGTGTTTTTAAATATCTGTATGTGCTAGAGTAATTTATGATACTTGAACTATAAAACTTCATTATGAAGAACGTTACTATCATCTTTATAGCATACCATAAGATGATTCTAACTCTAGTTCAGAAAGGACTTGGTTTTTTTTTGGTAAATCTGGTAACATTTTCTTAAGTTTTTTTGGAGGAAAGGGTTTTTTAATTTTTAGAAAATTGGCATGTCAGATCCCTATTTGTCAGAACTTTTTTATTTACTTTCTTTATGCAAATAAAGTACACTTTGCAGTAGAGTACAAAGTATTGAAATGTCATTATCTTTAAAAGATGCCATTGAATTTAGTCATAGAGTTAGGTTGACATTAATGTTGTATGTTGCAGATTCTTCTTTGTGACTCTTGTGACAGTGGATACCACACCGCCTGCCTCCGCCCTCCTCTGATGATCATCCCTGATGGAGAATGGTTCTGCCCCCCTTGCCAACATGTATGACCCAGCCCATCTCTGTCTCTAGTCTTTGGTTTTATGTTCAAAATAGTAATATTTTTAATAGCCGCTGAACAACTTCCATTTTCAAAGTAATTTGTAGTGTTTACCTCCAGGTTATTTGTCTTTTTTGTTAGTACCTTTTAGGCCTTCCTTTCGCCCTTTTCGAAAGCAGTTTTCAGAATCCCTCCAACTTTTGTAGTATTAGAACTTTCTTCCCTCACATTTTTTGGAAGTACAAAAAGTACCAAATTAAGATATAGGCTCTTTTGGGGATGGAGATGTGGCTCAAGTGGCATAGTGTCTACCTAGCAAGCATGAGGTACTCCAGCCCTCCAAATAAAATATATAGACACTTGCTTCACCACTTGAGCCATGCCTACAGCCCCCAGTTTAAGATATACATTAGGAGAGAATAAGTTTCTTTCTGTAGTTTATTCCTTTTTTTCATCCACTGTTTTCATTTCTACCTTTATTTATTTATTTTGCCAGTAATTTTATAGATTATATTGTCAGCATTACAAGAAACATGAGTTAGGTCTCTTCTGTGTTGCTTCATGTGAATTTCTTTTGAAACTGAAGAACAGCATATTTCTGTGCCACTGCTGTATTTTTTTCTGTGTCTTACAAGCCCAGTTTAATTTTGGTTTTAAAATGATGGACCACACGCATGTCTCTTGAAGTTGACATTCAATGGATTAGTATAGCTTTATACTTTTCAAGCTCTGTTTTGAGCTCGTAACCATGTGGCATTATTTGGTATATGTTTTGCCAATCTCTTTTTAAAAAAAAATGTTTATTGGCACTATTATTTTATTGTACATATCATATCCTTAAAATGTTTCATTCTTTTTTCAATTATAATCATATTCATATCTTTTTGAACAATTTGTAGCAAAATAGGCCCAAGATATGTTTTTTGTTGAAGCTGTTTCTCTAACATGCTTTATTTAAAAACTACTGTGCTTATCTTCTATTCAAAGAAAAGTTTGATAGAAGAAAAAGGTTTCCTTAAACAGAGGGAATGCTTCAATTCACATTCGCCTTTTGGCCCCTTCTCAGCTATAATAGCATAATACCTAGGGGTTTAACATGTATGTGATAGTAGAAAAATATTGAGAGTGACACATACATCTTGCTCCTTCAGAAACTGCTATGTGAAAAGTTAGAGGAACAGTTGCAAGATTTGGATGTTGCCTTAAAGAAGAAGGAGCGTGCTGAACGAAGGTATTTTAATGTGTGTGTCAATGTTTTCCTTGGGAATTTGACAGCAGTACATTGTGCAGTGTATATGAATGGACCTGTCTAATGCAGGGACTAGTGAACCATAGCCTCCTGCTCGTTTTGTGCTGCCCACAAAAGTGGTTTTTATTTTTTTAAGTGGAAAAAGATCAAAACTAGAATCATATTTCATAACACAAGAAGATTAGATGATATTCAGATTTCTTTGCCCATAACTAAAGTTTTATTGGAACAGACCTTTTCTCATTTATTTATATACTGTCTGGCTGCTTTTGCTCTACAGTAAGGTTTTTTGTTTTTTTGTTTTTTTTTTTCAGTATTGGGGTTTGAACTCAGGGCCCTCATCTTGAGCCACTCCACCAACCCTATTTTCATGATGTGTTTTTTCAAAATAGGG